TTTATTAGCATATTAATGAATGTGACTATATTCAAGTTTAGATGACTTTGGGTTGACCTACATCCGAGTGTGGGAAGTCTACAACTGAGGTGAATTATTATCCGCATTGTCCACATTGAGGTATTTTGTGCAACTATGTGGCAAGACGTTGTCCAACAAGTGGTTAATGTGTAACTTCACCTAGTTTTGGGCTTTTCCATGTGTGTTGGAGGTGTGTTTATCTTTCAATAAAACTCACTTTGCTTGAGCAGTGAGTTTAGAAGTGACTGGGGGAGAACGATGTGAAGCAGCATCTGTTCTGCTCTCCTTCAATCCCAGTCACTCCTCACCACTGTAACCATAAACTTTTCCTTGTCTGACTTGTATGGTTTTGTCCAGGTACTGTAGTTTAGAACTAGCTTTAACAGTAGGGAAATTCTATGTGTGTGTGTGTGTGTGTGTGTGTGTGTGTGTGTGTGTGTGTGTGTGTGTGTGCGTGCGTGCGTGCGTGCGTGTGTGTGTGTGTGTGTGTATGTGTGTGTGTGTGTGTGTGTGAGATATTCTTCCAATAAGATGAAACTGCTGCAGAGTGAGGGGCAGAGATGAGTTTGGAGCAGGACTTTCCTCTCCATCCTCTTCCATCTCTCCTCACAGATTAAGCAAGTAAAGAAACTACAGTAACTCATCTCGTCTGAGGGGAGATATTTGTCCAAGGTAAACTGTTGTTACGACCCAGTCTTTACAATGAGCAACACTGGCTTTTAAAAGTATCCATAGCCCGTGAAATTTTCCACATTCTGTCACATCACAACCACAAACAATAAACAATGTAAATGTGGTCTTTCAGGTAAAATACCGAAACGTGCTTTATATCTCAAAACATTCAACGATGCGGGTTCCGCCTCTGGATACCAACAACTGTACAGATACTGGTCACCCATCTATGGAATTATCAGGCCCAGACCTTCTAGCGTCTCAATGCAACATAGGTCCTTGACAGCAGGTTTGCCACACTGGGGGAAGCACAGTGACTTAAGTCTGCAATGACAATATTTCCCAACCAGAATCTTTCAAAGTTGCATCTTGGCCCTACTTTACTACCTCTCCTCTGCTATAATAACCTGGATTACTCTCTGTTTCTCTTGCCCGAATTTTTAAAAGGATAATTAAATATGTCACCAAGCCAAAATACAGCACCAGGTTTGGCCTCAGGGATATGTCTTTGGTCCAATAATGTTCACTTCAATATACTGCCTTCTTATTTTCAACCACTCATCACCAAACTGGATTAATACAGATCTGTTTGAAATTTGATGTCAACTTTTCCCTTGAATTCGACATTGCTGCCACTTATATCTACCGTAAAGATACAGTAAAATGGTGGCAGATGCACGCAAAAACAAAGACCGACTCCAGCTGTAATCATACCTGCTTCACCAGAAGAGCAGATCCAAACAATGTCCAGTCGAGGAAATCCTGTCAAGACATAACAAAAACATAATCAATTTTACTACACACACAGGAAACGCAATATTAACAAACACATAGGAGCCATTGGTCCATGTTAATAAATGTCCTTAAACATCCCGGATGATTACTGTCCTAAGACCCTCCTGCATGTGAGTGTGACATCACCATAGTGTTAGCTGATGTAGCAATGCAGATGTAGGCATTTGTTCAGATGCGTTTGCTTAGCGTCGTAACAGGGGCAGACTTGTTGCTAGGGTGGTTGCTAAGGCAAGCTGGAGTTTCCCCCACAAATGAAGAAAATACACAAAGATAATATCAACAATGAAACTCCAGGAACACAGAGAGCAAATAAATCATGGAATTTTAAGCCCAAAATGAGTGAGTGTGATGGAAACAGTAAAGGGTGTGTATACTCGAGCGTCGCTGCGCTTGCGGTGGACCTCGTGATGTCACATGATGTCACATGACCGACGCAAGGATTACCGCAAGACCGCAACCACCCGTGCACCCTCTGCTGGCAGCGTAGAGAAGGTCCGTTGTGATTGGCCCGTGTGTGATTACATTTTGGATGGAGGCATGGAGCGGCTGCAGAGAACATGGACGAGGCTGTGGACTAGAGTTTTGTTGCATATTGAACATTTGTTTGTTTGAATCTGCGCATGTGGCTTATCGCATCTGTTGCATTCCTCCTGCACTTGTAAATAGTTAATATTTGGTCTCAGATATTTATCACTAATTGTTTTGCTGTTTGTGCACAAATACACTTTAAAAAATATCTATGTTTCCTACAAGAACTATGTCATTATTCACAGCATCGCAGTTAAATGAGTTTTGAAAAAATGAGTCTATAGTTCTGTCACATAAACCTACGGCTAGAGAAAAAATGTATGAGATTCGGTTCGATCTTAAACAGTTTACTTCGCGATTGTTTTTGTCTTGAAAAGGAAAAGGTAGTTAGACTTTGGTGTCCCGCGCAACTCCTGTGAGATCGCCATCATGTGGTTGTGAATGGGATTACAACGTTATTTTCACAATTACGCCCGAGTATACGAACAACTGCGTAATTAACAACGGGTCCAGGGCAGAAACGCCTACGCACACAGTAATGCCCAAGTTCACAAAGGCTTTAAAGGTATGAAGAGGATTTTGCCAAATTTTAGGAAAGAACCGCCCTCTCCACAACAAAACTCCCTGGTCTTATTTGATGAGCATGTATCACCAGAATGATTGACAATTGGGAAGGCCAATAGTCTTGATGATCCACCTCGAAGTAGAAAATCCTCATATGGAGCCAGAGAGAGTTGGAGCAAACTTTTGATGGTCCCACAGAAGGGGAAATGTCAGTGTTGGAATCAGGAGCACACAGCACAAGATGAAAATAACGTAAAATCTCTAACTTTAGCATAATAAAAAAGTATAAATCCTGTATATTCTAGTGCAGAAAGATATGGTTGTACTGTATGTATACATCTGCACATGTTGGTTATGAGCGTCTGGGACAGTGGACACATGAGCACTTCCCTATTGGGCTTCGCTGAGCTAGCAGGTTAGCATTGTCCATCTACATACAGTCTATGCATTTACCATGAGGTTTAAACCATATTATTCATCGGTAGTTTGCATTGGAGTCCTCTCTGACCACGGTATAACAGCACATTTCCATCGTGTACAGAGATAAATGGCCCGTGGAGTCATAGAAAAGTGTGAAAGCCTTGATTGTAAATGCATTATGAAGCAGCCGCAGTCTTTGATGGCACAGGCTTCACTGCTTTAAACAGCTAATTCATCAAACGTCAAATTAAAAGCTATCGTGTGCTTTTCAACGGACGTGTTCACATCTCGTGTCCAATTATACGTGTGCTGTTTCTGCGCTCACATCACTGAGACAGAAGCAGGTTTACAGGAGCAGGAAAGATGTGGGAGCTCTCATTCTCTCACTCCTACTGTGGCATTGTCTATTTGCGGTACAGGCGTTTGTCGTCTGTTAATGCTTCATAATAGATCGTTGGGTTTAAAGATGCAGTCAGTGAATTTTTCCAGACGCATTTGTTTTAATTTTGTGGGAAACCGTCTCCAAACCCTAAAAGTAGTCAAGTTATCATGTGTTTTCAAATAGTATTGGAATTGACCAGATGCTCCAGTCTCCCAAAATTAATAACAAATATTTTGGAGAGGACCGATAAAAATGAACCAATGGTATTCGTTCATCCCCAACGAACCAATGGGATGCGTTTACCCCCTTCACCCTCTTCCTGTTTCTCGCAAGTACGCTCACCTGAGTTACCGGATTATTTTCTAAAACCTGAAAGAGCTGAACAGAAGATTCAATTTCACGTTTGCCACCCACTCTCCCTGTTATGACAAATAAAAGAAAATGCTGGATGTTTGGTTTGGTGGAGAGGCGAGGGGAGGGGAGGGGGAGTGGTTTCCAGTTGGTGCTACGGGTAAGCTAACAACATTGCTCACTGCACCTTTAAGGCAGTGTTTTTCAACCAATGTGCCGTGGTACGTTAGTGTGCCTTGCAAGGATGTTTGGTGTACCTTTGGAAATCATCCAGTATCACCTAATTGGTCAAAAACTGTGAAAAGTAAGAGAAAGAGAAGATTAGAAAGACTTTTTTTTCTGCCCCTGATTGATTTTCTATATGTACACTTTGATGAGAATGACTTACATTGATAATAAAGGCTGCCGTGTTTCATTTTTGTATCACTTTCAGCTGGTGGTTTGCCGTGTGATTGTTTTCAATGAGAAAATTGTGTCACGGCTCAAAAAGGTTTGGGAATATTGGTTTAAGGACATAATCTTCTGCTTCGGAACAAAGAAACAAAGGTAAAAGTATGTCCATAAATGTCCTGGATCATCACTGTTCTTACACCCTCCTACAAGATACAAGATACAAGAATTGATTTGCCATTTGCAGTAAAACCATGTTGGAAAAACTGAGCAAGACTACCCCTGTGTGCTCCAGCATCCTCCTGCATCAACAAGCACATGCAGACACGGGGAGAACATGCAAACTCCATACAAAGGCCACTCTGGAGATAGAATAAACCCAAGTGAAGAGCTATTTAATTTTAATCTAAATGCGATTTCGTTCGTATTGCCCTAATTCACAAAATTTGTCCTGGCATTGACCGATAACTATCATAATACAAAACACCAGCTCCAGGCTCCTCCTCCAGGGTCTTTCTCCAGGGGCCCCCTCCATGCTCCTCCTCCCTGAGCAGCCAAAACCATAATATTGACTTTGACCCAACTTTCCATAAACCATATATTATACCAAACCCCCAGATGCCACACACACTCAACAGTCCCTCCATGTTTGACGGCCTCTTCTACAAACGCGTCGCTGGACATTGTTTCGCATATTACCCAAGAATATTTCTGCTTTCCCAAAGGAGCCACACCAACATAAAGCGGATTACAGAGATTTTAGCTCCGTGCAGCGGCTCACAATGACATAAGTGATATTTGCTTCGAGGCGTCAGTCATTAAAATTTAAAACGAATTTGCCATTTGCTGCTGGTATCACTGCACCGCTCTGCATGCATTAGTGGAATAAGCTCTGGTGCTGCTCGCATGAGAAGAACGAGGAAGGAGGAGGGGGATGGGAGAGAGAGAGAGAGAGAAGAGGACTGGGGGTGAGAGAGAGCAGAGGACTGGGAGAGAGAGAGAGAGCAGAGGACTGGGATGGAGAGAGAAAGAAGAGGACTGGAGGTGAGAGAGACGAGGACGGGATAGAGAGCAGAGGACTGGGGGAGAGAGAGCAGAGGACTGGGAGAGAGAGAGCAGAGGACTGGGGGAGAGAGAGCAGAGGACTGGGAGAGAGAGAGCAGAGGACTGGGGGAGAGAGAGCAGAGGACTGGGGGAGAGAGCAGAGGACTGGGGTAGAGAGAGCAGAGGACTGGGGGAGAGAGAGCAGAGGACTGGGAGAGAGAGAGCAGAGGACTGGGAGAGAGAGCAGAGGACTGGGAGAGAGAGCAGAGGACTGGGGGAGAGAGAGCAGAGGACTGGGAGAGAGAGAGCAGAGGACTGGGAGAGAGAGCAGAAGACTGGGGGAGAGAGCAGAGGACTGGGGGAGAGAGCAGAGGACTGGGAGAGAGAGCAGAGGACTGGGAGAGAGAGCAGAGGACTGGGGGAGAGAGAGCAGAGGACTGGGAGAGAGAGAGCAGAGGACTGGGAGAGAGAGCAGAAGACTGGGAGAGAGAGCAGAAGACTGGGGGAGAGAGCAGAGGACTGGGAGAGAGAGCAGAGGACTGGGAGAGAGAGAGCAGAGGACTGGGGGAGAGAGAGCAGAGGACTGGGGGAGAGAGCAGAGGACTGGGAGAGAGAGCAGAGGACTGGGAGAGAGAGCAGAGGACTGGGAGAGAGAGCAGAGGACTGGGGGAGAGAGAGCAGAGGACTGGGAGAGAGAGAGCAGAGGACTGGGAGAGAGAGCAGAAGACTGGGGGAGAGAGCAGAGGACTGGGAGAGAGAGCAGAGGACTGGGAGAGAGAGCAGAGGACTGGGAGAGAGAGCAGAAGACTGGGGGAGAGAGCAGAGGACTGGGGGAGAGAGCAGAGGACTGGGAGAGAGAGCAGAGGACTGGGGGAGAGAGAGCAGAGGACTGGGGGAAAGAGAGAGCAGAGGACTGGGGGAAAGAGAGAGCAGAGGACTGGGAGAAAGAGAGCAGAGGACTGGGGGTGAGAGAGACGAGGACTGGGAAAGAGAGAGAGCAGAGGGCTGGGAGAGAGAGAGCAGAGGACTGGGGCAGAGAGAGCAGAGGACTGGGGAGAGAGAGCAGAGGACTGGGGTAGAGAGAGCAGAGGACTGGGGTAGAGGGAGCAGAGGACTGGGGAGAGGGAGCAGAGGACTGGGGGAGAGAGAGCAGAGGACTGGGGGAGAGGGAGCAGAGGACTGGGGGAGAGAGAGCAGAGGACTGGGGGAGAGAGAGAGCAGAGGACTGGGGGAGAGAGAGAGCAGAGGACTGGGGAGAGGGAGCAGAGGACTGGGGTAGAGGGAGCAGAGGACTGGGGGAAAGAGAGAGCAGAGGACTGGGGGAGAGAGAGCAGAGGACTGGGGGAAAGAGAGAGCAAAGGACTGGGGAGAGGGAGCAGAGGACTGGGGTAGAGAGAGCAGAGGACTGGAGGAAAGAGAGAGCAGAGGACTGGAGGAAAGAGAGAGCAGAGGACTGGGGGTGAGAGAGCAGAGTACTGGGGTAGAGAGAGCAGAGGACTGGAGGAAAGAGAGAGCAGAGGACTGGGGGAGAGGGAGCAGAGGACTGGGGTAGAGGGAGCAGAGGACTGGGGTAGAGGGAGCAGAGGACTGGAGGAAAGCGAGAGCAGAGGACTGGAGGAAAGCGAGAGCAGAGGACTGGGGGAGAGGGAGCAGAGGACTGGGGTAGAGAGAGCAGAGGACTGGGGGAGAGAGAGCAGAGGACTGGGGGAGAGAGAGCAGAGGACTGGGGGAGCATCATGCTGTGGGGTTGCTTTTCTTCAGCAGGAACAGTGAAGAACAAACCTCACTGGCGTCAGTAAAACCCACGGCTGGAGCGTCAATGACCCTAAACAATTAAAAACATAAAGAGCTACATTTATATTGTATGAAAAATATAATAATAATAATAGGTTTTATACAGCGCTTTTTTGGACACTCCAAGACGCTTCACTTGTCATTATTCATTCACTCCATACACGGTGGTGAAAAACTACTACTGTAGCCACAGCTGCCCTGGGGCACACTGACAGAAGCAAATGTGCCATCAGCCCCTCCGATCAACCTTCGACCCATAGGCAATGAAGGTGAAGTGTCTTGCCTAAGGACACAACGGCAAGGTGCCCCACTGTGGCACCTGGTGTTCCCAAAAGATAAGTGTCTTGCCTAAGGACACAACGACAGCAGACATCAGTGGAGTCGGTGGAGAAAGTCTTGTGGTGGGCTCGAATCCACGACCTTCAGGCTCAAAGGCCAATGCTCTACCAACTGAGCCACTGTCGGCCAAAATAATATGGAATAAGCCAATCAAATCAGTGTCATACCAACCAAACTCTCTCACTGCGCTCGCAAAACGCCAGACGTCTGCTGGGTCCTAAAGAGTCCAAAAGTGCAGTCGACAACAGAGCATTTAGCTCCAAACTCTTTTACAGTGGAAGTAGCTCCTCATCCAATGTTTCTAAAGTCATAATCGACAGAAGAATTGACAAACATCTGTAAAACTATGCATAAACTATTGCTCCTGAGTGTGAACCATGTGTGGAGAATGACCAGGAACCATGTATTTATCCAAGCTCGCAGCTGATTGGTCGTTGACTGCAGTCGTCATGGATGAGGACATAAGGGCGGGACGGTCCTCAAGGGGAGACTGACCATAAGAGGACTGAACTAGGATTGTACCAGGACTGAACCAGGACTGAACCAGAAGAGAACCAGAAGAGAACCAGGACTGAATCAGGACTGAACTAGGACTGAGTCAGGTCGAACCAGGATTGAGTCAGGTCTGAGCCAGGACCAAAGCAGGACTGAACCAGAACTAGACCAGGACTGAACCAGGACTGAAGCAAGACTAAAATCGATCTAAAGCGGGAATATATCAGGAAAAAACCAAAAATAAACAAATACTAAACCTGGACAAAACCAGAAATAAACCAATGCTAAACCGGGACTGAACCAGGACTGAACCAGGACTGAACCACCATTTTTGCTTCAATGGGCAGAGAAGAGGTTTGAGATATATTTATAGAATCCAGGTTTTTGTGGCAAGTGGAATTTCTATTGATTCAGCAAAATGCAAAGATACTGCTGTGTCTGCAGCTGAATATAAACTGGTCCACAATGAAGGGAAGGGAACCAGGTCTGGACCAGGTCTGACCCTAAACTTTCATACTGTCCATCACAGTAGATGTAGAATAAATAGAACCATAACTTTAAACATAAACTTCTTCCTCTGCTCCTCTTCAGACTAAACACTGTTAATATAAGCTGATGTATTTTAATAAGTTCCATAAACAGTTTTAAATCTGACTGAAATAGAAGCACAGCCTTCACCATGGGTCAGAGTTTTCCCATTAGAGTTTTCCTGAGCCGCAGCAGACCAGACGACTGCCGACGAATCAATCAGGGAAAAAGCAAAAGGAAGGCATCGTCTCTGCTGTTTTTGTCTCGTTCATCATCATCATGACTGAAGAGAATTGTGGACCAGAGAGAGGCCAGAGAGAGACACCAGAGAGAAACCCTAGAAAGAGAGAGAGACCATAGAGAGACCAGAGAGAGACCAAAGAGAAAGTCTAGAGAGAGAGAGAGACCATAGAGAAAGTCTAGAGAGAGAGAGAGACCATAGAGAGACCAGAGAGAGACAGCAGAGAGAAAGCCTAGAGAGAGAGACCATAGAGAGACCAGAGGGAGACCAGAGAGAGAGACCAGAGAGAAAGCCTAGAGAGAAAACCTAGAGAGAGACCAGAGATAGACCAATGAGAGACCAGAGAAAGACCAGAGAGAACCAGAGACCAGAAAGAGACCAGAGATAGACCACAGAGAGACCAGAAAGAAAACAGGGAGTGAGAGACCAGAGAGAGAGAGAGACCTACTACCAATGAGAGACCAGAGAGAAACCAGAGAGAGAGAGAGACCAGAGATAGACCAGAGATAGACCAGAGAGAGACCAGTGAGATATGTGAGGTCTGAGTCTGTGTCACTTCAGCTTTGGCAGCAGACGCTTGTTCTTCCATTGTCCACAGCGCACAGAGCTGTAGTCATCAGTCTCTCTGTCCCGAGCTGCCTGTCCTGTCCTCTGCCCTCATCCTTCACTACACACACTCACACACACACACACACACACACATACACACACACACACACACACACATATTTACCTTTCACACATACAGTACGTCCTGCAGTAGGTCCCTGTGTTATTGTCTTGTCGTCTTTACAGGAGAAAAACGTAAGAAAAGGAGACAGTGACCAGAGGATGATTCTACAATTCTGAGAGGAGCACGGATCAATACAGTCTGACGCACAATACGCCACAGACGCCACAGACGCCACAGACGCCACAGACGCCGCTGACGCAGTGGAGCGGAGTGAGAGGTTCAAACAGGGGTCTCACGGGGGTCACAGCAGCCTCTCTGTATGTTTGCACAGCTCTCCACTATAATCAAATACCAGCCAACTGTGTGTCCTCTTCCTGTCCAGTTTCACAACCCCAACCTCCTCAGGGGCCATCATTCTGTTCTCCACTATGAGAATCTCTGGTTATTTATTCTATAGATCAGAGTTTTTCAACCAGTGTGCCGTGTTTGGTGTGCCGGAATGATCCAATCCCACCTACAAAATAATGTGAAAAGAAAATAATGTAGAAGCTAGGAATGACTTTGTGATTTCAACGTTTACAATGAGAGAGGTGTGCCATGGCTCACAAAGGTTGGGGAGCACTGCTATAGATGGATGATGTGAATGTGGAGATGAAGCCAAGATGGCGTTCTCGAAGACAGCTCCACCTGAAGTCGTGACCAAAGTTATCATGTGATTAAATATTAACTTTTGGGAATCCTCCACATTACAGATTCAGAAAATATTTTTTCAGGAGGTGAAATAATACAGTATATTAGTAAGTAATTAATGTTTATTTATGTGGCGCATTTTACAGACCAACATGGGGAGAACATGCAAACTCCACACAGAAAAGTCTGGAGGTGGAATCGAGTAGAACATATATATATATATATATATATATATACGGTGAAAGAGTGAAGTATGAAGGGTGAGAAATGTCATCTCCCTGTAACTCCCTACGCTACCACCAAAGGGAGCAGCGTCTGCAGTCAGAGCTCCTTGTAACTTCCTGTGCTGCCACCAGAAGGAGGGGGAGAATTTTTTTTGGTTCTTTTCCAAATTTAAAAATCACCAGATGCAAACTCAGACATGAATTTGTAGAGAGTGACAATCTGCTTGAAAAATTCCCCAAACTAATCTATGGGCAAAACCTGTAGTCAGAAAATACTCAGCGCATGAAGTGATAATAATGATAAGATCCCCAGCCTGAGTGTGGACCTGCTCTGGATCTACAGCCGACAGCAAATGCGACATCATCTGTTTGTGCTGTGTTCAGTGAATAATTGCAGTGATGGAGACGAGCCCGATGTCCCCACCGTATCCCACAATGCAACAGTAATTAGGGGCTTTGAATTTGGCCGCGTGGGGTCGATTAGCATTTGTGTGGATTCAGGGAAATACAGCAGAGGTGTGTAATCACATTATGAAGCTAACGTGCTAACGCCGCCACACGCCACTGTGACGAGGCAGCCACATCAGCCAAACAGTCAACACTCACAGATCACAGGAGAGAAGGTGCCAATATCAGATAAAGTATCTTCCCACAACGCTAACTACTGCTAAAGACATAGAAACTGGTTAGTGTTGTCAGAACAGCTGTAATTTACACAAGAAGCTTTTGACTCATTCTCTCAGACTGTAAACAGGTGGACAATGCTAATATAGACCGTATACAGATGGACATTGCTAACATTAGCTTTGTTAGTTTCTCATTCTTTACAATCACTTGTGTTTTGTCGGTAAATTGCAACATTCGTTTTAAAAGCCAAATCAAATGTCCCCCCTCCCTCTGGTGGCAGCTTAGGGAGTAACAATTGGAAAGCACCTTTTACCCTTCATACTTCTTTCACCATAGATTATCTACGTATATATATATATATATTACTAAACATTCAAAAACAGGAAGTCACAAAGTAAATAGTGTCATTGTATTCTTTAATGGTCGAAAACAATGCATGATATTTCTTCTTTAAGGCACTTTATAACTACGTCTGTGGGGGTCAATGTCCGTTTGAAGGCCTTTAAAAAACAGATTCACAACATGAGACAAGGTTTAAGTTGTTATGTAAAAACAGCATTTTGATCACTTAATTTAATTATAATAGTATTGTATTTTATACATTGTTCTTCACTCAAGAACATGTCATTATTCTCTCACTCCAAACACAGTGGGAATAACTGGGAATACTGCTACAGTAGCCACAGCTGGCCTGGGCACACTGACAGAAGCAAGGCCACCAGTATCTGCCATTGGCCCCTCCCACTATCACCAATCATTCACACACACGCGCGCGCGCGCACACACGCACACACACACACACACGCACACACACCAGACCCAAATTCAATAGAGATATCTCACGTGACGTCACGATGCCTCGAACTCGCGGGGCATCCGCCATACTGGAGGACAAGCAAACGCTGTATGATAGTGGCGTGCACCCGGGACCGCATAAACATGTTCAAATTTTTTGCCGTTTTTGGCTGCAGCAAAAGGAGAGACAGGGAAAATAAGTTGAGTTACCGACTGCCAGCCGTCCTTACCTCACACGGCTCAAAAACATAACAACAACAACAAAAAACTAATAGCCACCAGAGCGACCGAATATGCTCGGATCATTTCATTTCTGCTAAGTGAAATCAATT